GTTTTCTGACAGGTGAACACGCCTCCAGGATTGTAACGATGACGCTCAGTTTATCCCATACCTGTGACACTGCTTAACGCCTTTCTTAACATGTGTATGTAGCTGTCACCTGTACACGCTCCACATCAGAGCCCTGAATTAAGTTCTCGTACGAAGTTACGTGAACCCAGCTCCTGGGCGTGATGGGACTTGTGCCAATTTCCTCCAGGAAGTTAGGAAAGTGGCCTAAGTACATTTTTGCCTTAACTTTGTGGAATTACCATCTTTGGTTGTTTTATTTCCTTCCTCGAGGCTCTTTAAAAAGATCTCAGACATCTTACAAATTCAATACAAGAGGGCCTTCCCTCAGCATCTCTCAAATTTTCAGAATGGCCCACGTGCCCAGTACTTCTCTTGTTTCGGGCTCACATATTATATATACCGGATGTCATGGGGAAATCCTGGTTTGAGATGGTGACTCCCATTCATAACATCTTTGGTTACCAGCTGCGTGCTGCACGCACAGTGCATGTGGTCACGCTGAGAGGAAGTAGGCGGCAGTCACACGGAACAGATGTTGAGCGAGGATCTGACAGATGGGCGGAGGGAAGGCTGTAGTGATGCACGGCGATCTGATTTCACATGTGGGGTAGGGAGTCACTGCATTCTCTCTGAACACGCAGAATTAAGCGTCCTTGCTGGCAGGGGGACAGCGGGGAGAAGATGGGGCGTTTTGTTGAGAAAAGAAGCACAATAGGGCTCATCGATCTCCTTCTAATCAATATATCGATCCTAGGAGGATAGCCCATCTGGCACTGTTGTCCCTTGGAAATAAGATCTGTCCTCTGGGTCACAGGCATGATCTTTAAGTGACAAGTGACGAGCTCTGTAATCTGCGTGCACTGCGCATGTTAGGTCCTCAGGGGAGCGTGTTCCTTCTCTGCTGTGACCCCGGTGTCTGGGCTGGGCATAGGAAAAGCCTGACTTTTCTAGATGTTAATTAAATACATTTATTAACAGATACATTCATCTGTGATTTCATACCCACATTCACATCTTGTAAACACCCATGTAAGGGGCTTCCCTGGATCCATTCCAATGACTTTGTCTGTGACAGTGCTTCCTGTGACTCTTTTTATCACATGAGTCTTCTTCATCATTTTTACATTTTGCCCAAGACAGTGATAATGACTCACATTTGAAGTTGCTTTAGACTTACGGGATGGAGCGCTCGTGCGCTCATCTCTTCCTAAGCTACAGCACCCCCTCCATCAGCAGGGCGTCTCCCTTCAGAACCAAGGAGTCAGAGGAACTGCCCACGTACAGCTCGGGAGGGAGATCGTGAGCCGGACTCCTGGTCAGTCTCTGAGACAAGACGTTAGTGGACTCCAACTGAAAGACCCAGTAAATGTGGCCCGGTCTGCACCTTGCTGCCTGCTGGCCTTGAGGCTCCCGTGCTTTGAGGCCGTTGAGTCTGTGGACCAGAGGAGGGCAGAGTGCCCTTGTCCGGACACAGCTCCAATGAAGCCGGAGGTGGCAGGTTTCGTGTACTCTGCTACCCACCCGCCAGCGCCCACCACTTCACGGTGTGACAGCATCCGCCGTGAGCGCCAGGAGAGATGGCGTTTGTGTCCGCCTCTCCAGGTGCGTCGTTTCAGTGTCTTGAACCAAGGCCTGTGGGGAGAGGATGCAAATAACAGGAAACGTTCACTTCACACACGTCGCTCTCATTGCATTCTCCCAGCAGCACTCCGGTGAGGCGGCGGCTCCGGCAGAATAATTGACTTGCCAAGGTCGAGGCAGAAGTAGAATTTTAATGCAGGAGGTCTGACCTTCGAGGTTTTCTTCTGATTCCGCAGACGCTGGGTTACAAATAGTCATAGAAATAAGCCAGTCGGCAGGGAGGTACCTTTAAAAGATTAAGTGGACAGAAATGAAGAAACGGAGCGGTCACAGGGGCACCGCATTAGCAGAGTCTCGGGTGCGTGGCTGGGTCACAGCCTCGTGTCCCTCCGTGAGTGTGTTCCAGGCAAGCACCACGGGCCCCGGTCCAGGTGGAGACCCTGAGCCTGAGGTCACATGGCAGCTTTCTGCTTCAAGGAGAGAGTGAAACCCCAGATAGGAAAACTCTTCAAGCAGCGAGGAGTTGGGGGGGGGGGGGGGAGACACACAAAGCAGAGATGCATATTTCAAAGAGCATCAAGCAGCGTGGGATATTGAGTAGCCATTGAAATGGGTTTATCCAGCCATTTGTATTAATGAGTATTTAAATGCAACAGATTCTAGCTGGTTTCGCTCAGTGGATAGAGCATCAAAGGGTCTGCAGGCTCAATTCTGCTCAAGGGCGCATGCCCAGGGTTGCAGGCTCGATCCCCAGTAGGGGGCGCGCAGGAGGCAGCCAGTGATTCTCTCTCATTGATGTTCCTATGTCTCCCTCTCTCGTCCTCTCTGAAATCAATAAAAATACATTTTAAATTCAATAGATATTATTTCAGGTGACTTAACATGAATGAATAAGAGTCAATGCTATTGGATAAAAAAAAAAAATTTTTTTTTTTAAAGTAACCGGAAAATCACCAAGGGAATGCCCGCACAAAGGGGAACATTCCAGAAAGGGTTGTACCTGGGAGAAGAATCACAAAACAGAGGTGCAGCCCTAGGCAGCAGCCAGCCTTCCCTCTGCCCCCAGGCGGGAATCGGCCACACACATTCTGGGCTGGGTGCGTACCCATAGCCTTACAGCAGCACTGAATACTGGATGTGGAATGCTTCGTTCACTTATTTATTTTCAATTATATTTTTATTGATGTCAGAGAGGAAAGGAGAGAGAGATAGAAACATCAGTGACGAGAGAGAATCATTGATCGGCTGCCTCCTGCACATCCCCAACTGAGGGCAAAGCCTGAAACCTGGGCTTAAAGCCTGACCGGAAATGGAACCTGACGTCCTGGTTCCTAGGTTGACGCTCAACCCCTGAGCCACGCCGGGCTGCAACGGTTTAGATGCCACTCGTTACGTAGCATCACATTATAACGGGGCTCACCAGTACCCCAGCCTCACGGTGGAAAGGGCACTGGGCTGCCCAGGCTGGAAGTGGGCTCTGCTGCTCACCTGTCCTGTGTCCTCTGCTCTCTCTCTCTCCCTGAGCCTCAGCTCCCCCACACTGAGTGCGGGTCACACTGTCAGTTGTGTGTAGAGTTGTTTTTGAGAATTAAATGAGTTGTGTATTTTTTAAAAATCACCAATAGGCCATGCATTGGGAGCAGTACCTCCAATGGATGATCAATAAATGTTCAATTAGATTTCTATCACCTAAGCAAAATTCTGTTCGTTTCTGTTCTTTTTGGAGAACTTGATAAGGGTCATTTTTTCGGTAGCTCTTACGGAGGTGTTCCTTTGTGTAAATACGTCCTGAAACACCAGTCTCAGAGTCTGTGCAGGGGAACAAAGAAACTCCTTGGATTTCATGAAAGGCAAGAAAAAACAGTCTCCACGCCGATCGGTTGCGTTTGTCAAATCTGTGTCAGTTCCTCTTCATTCATAAGCCTCCTTCTTCCCACTGAAAAGTGAATTAAGAAGTCATTTCAGTGTCATTTGGAAATCATCCTGGTGTAGACACAGGCCTTATTTATTAATACGCCTCCTCCTCTCGGGGAAATCTGCCTGTGATCGATGGGTATTTGCAAGTTTCATTATCTTTCATAGTTCTCTCTCAGAAGCTTCATTTGTCTTTCTTTGTAGCCCTTTGTTTAATTTGCCAAAGTTCAGTACTTTACTCTGATTTAAGCTTATTCTTTCCTTGACATAAGATGTGAAATTTGAAGAAAAAAAATTGATAAAAATTCAGCTACTTCTGTCTCTCTCTCTCTCTCTCTCTCTCTCTCTCTCTCTTTTTTGCATTAACCATTTTTGCACATTAAAACTTTATTTGCATGTCTTAGTGCTTCCTTAGGATAAATTCAAAACTCTTTTCTAGAAATTGAGCACTCATCTGTGTGTCTGTCAGAGGAGGATAAGAATCCATCTCTATTCTATTGCCACGAAATGGAATTCTCTTAGACCCTTTGTGTGTTAGAAGGGCAATCAGATCCCAGGTTTAATTCATAGTTCTTAAATTACTCATTAAGATGTTTGGTGCCTAGAATGTGTTTGTTTATTTTCTTATACCAATTTTTATTGTTCTTTGTTTATGACTGTTGAAAAGCTAATGCTCTATCTTAAAATTGAGAAACTTCTTTATAAAGACATTTTATTTGTTAAAATATTCTCCTGGCGAATTATTTTCCTTTTAATTTGCTTACAATATTTTTCAATATAGAAGTAGCTAACTAAATTTTTATGCACAAAAAAAAAATTTATTTCTTTGATTGTTTTAGTCTTTTTTTAAAGATTTCCCAGATTTAGGAACTAGTCAAATGTGTATCAATAACTTTTTTTAGTTTTTGTGATTAGTTTTTTATATTTGGCACTTTAATACTTCACAACTTATTTTTATTTATGCCACGAGGAAAGAATATAACCTGACCCCAGCCATTGCAGCTTGGTGGTTGAGCATCAATCTATGAACCAGGAGGTCATGGTTTGATTCCCGGTCAGGGCACATGCCCAGATTTTGGGCTCTATCCCGTGTGGGCGTGCAGGAGGCAGCTGATCCATGATTCTCTCTCATCATTGATGTTTCTATCTCTCTCCCTTTCCCCTCCTCTCTGAAATGAACACACACACACAAAAAAAAAAATTGTTTTAAAGAATATAACCTGGTTGTCCCCTGAACCCTATGTGCTCGTGTGCATCCATGCTTGTGTGTGATTGTGTGTGTGTGTGAAGGGGGATGTCTGACGTGTGCTTAGTTTTACACTGAAGGTCTCCTCTGAGGTCTGTTACATGGTGTTATGTGCATTCTTTCACGTGGATTTGCTTATAGATTTTTTCCCCTCTAAGATCCACCTGCCTTTAATGATGGCTGCTTTCTACGTTGTCTCTCCTCCCGCTGACGCCATCTTGTACGTGTTCACTCGCAGGTTTGCCAGAACCCAACCGAGACGGCATCTTCCAGGGCCTGACGCAGGAGCAGGGCTTCTACACGTCCAAGGACTTCCTGCCTCTTGTCGCCAAAGGCAGCAAAGCAGGTAAACATGGCTCTTCCCTGCCTGACGCGGTCGGAGGGATTAGTCCCGGCTCTGCAGGAGGCTGTGCCCCCGGAGCCTTCCTGACACTCACCAAGGGGTGGGGTGATGTCCCCGTTTGCCGGCGTCCACCTGTGCGCCCTCTGGCAGGCGTCGCTGGAGGAGGCTCGCCCGTGAGGCATCTGAGCTGCCTCCAGAGACATTGCTTCTGAGGGAAGAGGTTCTTAGGAGTGGCAGGGACTTCAGTCTGGATACGAGTGTATTTAATGTCTTTATTTTGAAATTGGACAACTGGTTGTACCCAAGCAGGCTGAACGACGGTGTCTCCCAGAGCAGTGACTGTAGAAGTTAAAGGGGAACTCTGGGCGGACGCCCTGGGAGTAGTGTCTGTGCAGTAGCACGTCCTGCAGTGGAGTCATGTCTTAATGACAAAGAGGCATTTTATGTTCTCCAAAGACAAATCACACCAACCCTCTAAACATACATACTTTCTTCTGAAATATATTTGTACTCATTTCAGAGAGGAAGGGAGAGGGAGGGAGAGAAACATCAATGATGAGAGAGAATCACGGATCAGCTGCCTCCTGCACGCCCCACACTGGGGATGAAGCCCACAACCCGGGCCTGTGCCCTGACCGGGAATCTAACCGTGACCTCCTGGTTCATAGGTCGATGCTCAACCACCGAACCAGGCCTGCTGGGCGAGCATATATACTTTTAAAAGTCTCTTCTGCCATCTAATTGCATGGAGAAAAGATAAGAGCTTACATTTTTCTCCAAACGTTTTTTTAAAGCCACATCTTTTTCTGTAGAGTGTTTTGTAGAAGTTTACCGCTAAGATGTGTGCCTCCCCTTCCCCCTTCCAAGCGAGCAGGAGAGTCATGTGACTGAGATGCTTTCTAAGGAAGGGTCATAGCACTCACGACCTTACTTGAGAATTGCAGGAGCCGGGTCTGTAATCCCAGATACAGACTCTCCCGGGCAAATTGATTATTATGTTTATGGCAATTATAGGCCCCTGCTATCCAAGATGCCATTTCAAAAATTATAGTCATTCATCTTATCAGCAGTTGTATTTAATCCGATAATACATCCCTCTCAAGACAGAGAGAGCACCTGCATTTCCCCATTTTACATGAATTTTCGTCGGGACATCAACTCTTTTCATTCATATCAGTGCTCTTGAGAAATGGACACAAAAAAGTCATCATTTCCCTTCCATGCGCACTTTTATTAAAAGAAACAGAAAAATGGTCAACGGGAGGAAGTTTTATTTTAACTCTTTAAAAACTAGTTCCAGAAGTTGGTCGGTTGCGTAAAGAGCACTTACAGCGTGGTCATGTTTAACGTTCCAAGTTCCCTGAACGGTAATGTATGGTGGTCTGTTTGCTGTTAGCCTTACCACACCGCAGTGAGAGCCATACACGCAGGATGCGCTGAGGGGATGGGCCAGGCCGTGAGCAGCGCTCCCTCTCCTCCTAACGGAAACTAACGATGGGACTAGGAAAGTACAGGCCACCCCTTGCCAAGAGAGATCCTGGCTTGTTAGGGCCTGTGCCTCTTGAAATGTGCTGCAAGCTGTCCTGGGAGGAAAGGGAGGCTCAAGGTGCCGACCATGAAATTACTTACGAGCCTTTTTATTTGTATTAAATTATATATATATTGATTTCAGAGAGGAAGGGAGAGGGGGAGAGAGAGAGAAACATCAATGAGGAGAGAGAATCATGGCCTCCTGCACGCCCCACTCTGGGGATGGAGCCGGCAACCCGGCCTGTGCCCTGACCGGGAATCAAACCATGGCCACCCGGTTCATGTCGACGCTCCACCCCGGAGCCCCGCCGGCCGGGCCGTGAGCCTGTTTCACAGACGCGGACGCGGCTGTTTTCCATCGAGGCAGGGGGAGGGGGTGGGACCCTCGGTACTGAGCGCGGGTCCGAGGACCGGCCTGAGCCGAGCTGTCTGCGCGGTGGTTTCTCCACTAACGTGCTTCCTCCCTCGCAGGGCTGTGCGCCTGCCGCGGCCCGCTGCCCGCCCTCCGGGGCGCCGTGATCGTGCTCGGGGCCGGGGACACCGCCTTCGACTGCGCCACGTCGGCGCTGCGCTGCGGGGCCCGCCGCGTGTTCGTGGTCTTCCGGAAGGGCTTCTCGCACGTCCGAGCCGTCCCCGAGGAGGTAACGCAGGGCTGGGGCTGGTCAGACTGGGGAGAGAGGCCTCCCCTCCGCCCGGCTGCCTCCCGCCTTCCTGAGAGGGGGATGCAGGCGTGGACTTAGTTTGGGGACTAAGCCCAGTGTTTCTCTAGCTCAGACGGCCAGCGTTAACATGGTTCTATAAGGTCTTTGTCTCCGTCAGATCCAAGTGCTTCTGATCCTCAGAGCACCCCTCTCTCACACTTAGTCCCAGTGAGCCTGAGCTCTCCGTATCCCCACCAAGAGGTGCCCCTGAAACTGTCCTCAGAGACAGGCAGAGTTTCCGGGAGCCACCGGGCCCGCCGCCTTCCCAGGGGCTCGGAGACCACGGAGCAGACTCGCCGGTTTTTCAGAGAGCTTACAGGCAGGATGTTTTAGCTTCATATCGAGCTCAGGTTGAAAAGCACCCTGTTCTCAGAGGTGACTGGGGACCCCCTGTGGGGCAGGCACCACGGCCTTCTGGAATGTTCCTGTGTTAGAGCAGGCGGAGGCCACACACAGGTGTGCGTGTGAGAAGGAGAAGCCAGGTCTTTAGAGAGAGAGGAGGCACTCAATGTACCCGGTCCGTACGACCCATTCCATTAGCCGTGGGACGCCCAGGCCTGTTTGGAGTCTCTACGGGGCAAGAATGCTAACCGGTCAGCGGGCGGTTTGTCTCCCGGGAGGGACCGCGGTGGCGATTAATCTCAGGAGCCCTGAGTCTGCGCTGGCTCCTGGCCGAGCCTCCCGGTCTTCACCTGCTCTGCGCTGGGCTCCCTCCAGTCTCCCCTCTGCCAGGCCGGGACCCCGCACCGCCACGCTGTAAACCCCACACCTCGGGTCCCATGGCTTTAGGGCTGGGGCCCCCTTTCTCTAACACGGGTCCCGGGCTCCCCTTTGCATCAGAACACCTGGAGGCGTTTGCCACAGAGCATGCTGGGCCCAGGTTGTGACTCGGTGGATCTGCGTGGGCCCGAGAATGTGCATTTTGAGCGAGTGTCCCGGTGGGCGGCCATGGCCGCTGCTGCTCTGCGTGCCTTCCGCGCGGCCGGCAGCCCCCTGAGCCCCGCAGGGCCGGGAGGGGCTCGCTCCCTCCTCCTTCGGGAGGTCTGATCCCAGGAGGAAGGGGGCGCCCTCGCATAGGATTGGAACTCTATCCCAGCCCTCTCCGGCCCCTCGCGGCCTCCCAGTGCTCAGTGGGATGACAAACCCCCTCCTGGGCCTGGGCCTGAGGGAGCCCGGCCCATCCTGAGCGCCGGCTGGGAAGACGGGAAATACGCTAACAATCCCTCCGGTGCTTCCCGCACGCTGAACGCGGGGATTACATTTCACAGGTTACAGAATCCCCCCAAGGCAGGCATTAAGAGCTATAGCTACATCAGACAGGACTTCCAGAACGCTCCGGGCCTGGGGGATCCAGAGGAGGATGAGGAGGGGGTCGGGACCACAGCCTGCGGAGGAGAGGGGGGCAGAGGGAGGCGGGAGGGCTTTGTAGTTCCCGTCAGTTATCGCCGAGGGGAGGATGGAACAAACCGCTTTAATAGCTCGGCCCCACACACGCAGGGTCGTGTAAGAATCCATTGTTCACACATTCCACTTCCCAAGCAGCCACACAAGACAGCTCTTTAATTCCGCCCTGATCCGCATGGCTTCCAGGCCTCTCCCTGTGCCCGGGGCTGCGCCCTTCCCCTTTGCTGAAATGGCAGCTGGTTTAAGGTGGATTTGTCTGCTTCCGTATAGGTTAACATTCAGAAGGATCACGAATGCTCCTTTGTTCGTTTTAATAATAAAAACAACAGCACCAGATTGCCTGTTTCTCAGGAATATCTTCATCGGTTAAGGCAACTCTAAAATAATTAACACATCTTTTAAAAAATATTTTTTATTGACTCGGAGAGGAAGGGAGAGGAAGGGAGAGATAGAAACATCAATGATGACAGAGAAGCATTGATCGGCTGCCTCCTGCACACCCCACACTGAGGATCCAGCCCTCAGCCGGGCCTGTGCCCTGAGTGGAATCGAACCGTGTCCTCCTGATTCACAGGTCGATGCTCAGCCCCTGAGCCATGGCTGTGAGCACATAGCTCTGTGAGAGCCTGTGCCTTTCCCCTGTGTCCTCTGGGACCACACCCAGGGCCCCTCGGACTCATCCACATGGAGTGGTCCTGGCCGAGCCACACCCAGGTTCTCTGCATCTGCATCGTGCGTTTTCCCACCCGTCACTGTGCCTTTCTGTCTTCGCTTAATGACAAGAACCAGGAAGCTGGGACTGTTTTTAGCCAGGAACCTGTCTGAGCTGGCAAATTTGATTTTACTTGGCAAGGGTGCTGCTCCTTGCACATGCCCCTTGACGTGGAGCGGGACCTGAAGGGAGAGTGATGGAGACCTGTCAGCAGGATGGGCTTCAAAGAAGCCTGCAAACAAACAAGCACGCATGCCCCAAGGGCCCGGCGTTAATAACGGTCCTGGGGACCCCCGGGACTGAGACAGGAAGTACACCTTCTGTGCTCAATGACGACATGGATGTTAGAAACGTTTAAAATATGTTTTTATTGATGTCAGAGAGGAAGGGAGAGGGAGAGACAGAAACATCAATGATGAGAATCATGGATCGGCTGCCTCCTGCACGCCCCACACTGAGGATGGAGCCTGCAGCCCAGGCCTGTGCCCTGACCGGGAATCGTACTGTGACCTGGTTCAGAGGTTCATGCTCAACCACTGAACCGCGCCGGCCGGGCCAGGATTTAACGTGCGCTGGCCTGGCCTTGTGCTCTGCGCACTGGAGGTTAGAACCTGCGCGTCCTTTGCCTGTGTGCGGCCTCCCCGAAAGCTGCCGTCATGTTTTCAATTATGGTAAATTAAGTTGCTTCAGCGTTTCCACAGGACGATGCCTGTAATATTAATCAGATCAAATCATCCCGTTACAAAACGATGATCCTGGTGGCATGCTGGACACTCTGTTTTTATGCCCCTCAGCATCGGCCACAGAGCTGCCGTGGGTGTAGAGGTACATATCCAAGCTAAGGAGAATTTCGTTTCTCCACTTCCTCTCGGAATGAAAATTAAGAAGCAAGTGGATTCATTGAACCTCAGAATGGAACCTCCAGGATGTTTCCTCCTGTGTCCCTCTGAGTGGTCACTGACGGAGCTAAGGGCCAACGGTGTGTTCATTTGGTAACGCACCCGCTGTCTGTCCGGAGGACAGGGGCCACCAAACGAATGAATAAATCTGTGCACCTGGAGCCCGGCCGGGTGGCTCAGTGGTGAGTGTTACCTAGGAACCAGGAAGTCGCAGTTTGATTCCATCGTCCTGCACAGGCCTGGTTGCAGGCTCAATCCCCAGTAGGGGGTGTGGAGGAGGCAGCCGATCCATGACTATCTCATCATTGATCTCTCTCTCTCTCTCTCTCTCTCTCTCTCTCTCCCTTCCTCTCTGAAATCAACAAAAATATATCTTTAAAAAATATGTCTGCCGTGGACACAGTTCGTACAGAAGCCTCTCGGAGATGCCGAGCAGGACGAGCGTTAGGTTTTCAGAAGCACTGACCCTGTTTCCACCCCCAGGTGGCTCAGCCCCTTCCTAGTTCGGAAGCTCACACACAGCCTCCCTGCCTCCCTGGTCAGGGTCCTTCCGAGACTCCACCCGCCAACCTCCGCGGAGGTGTTTCCACCTGTTTGATAAGGAACTCTCCGCCTACTAGTTACGATCACACTGACAAAGGCTGAACCCCCCACCCCCACTCCCCCAAAAGCCAGTAAAGAGGAGGATGAGCAAACAAGCTCTTATTTGCATTCTGCCCTGTGAACATCGTGATGGCATGACAACCAACAAAAAGGAGGAGTGACGGAGGGAGCCAGCCTTCCTCGGAGGCGTGCTGTGTGCCTGAGCGCCGCCGCCGCCGCTTTACCGAAGTGAGAAATACTCTCCTCTGCGCCCACCGAGGCCCTCGGGCTGCGTCCTCCCGCCCACGCTCTGGTCCTGTGTCCTTGGCACAGACGGGCCCGCCCGCTGGGTTGACTTTTTTCTGGCTTACATGTATGCACCGTGGTGATGGGCAGCAGGATTGAAAAGAGGATTCAACCTGCAGACCTGAGAGCATGGAGACCAGGCTACTCCAGTCAGACCTCACACACACACACACACACACACACACACACACACACACACACGGTTCCTCCAGCTCAGGAAACACCTTGTAGAGCCATGGCCTCTAAGCCCCCACAGGGCAGCCCCAGTCCAGGGCACTCCCAGGTCAGGGAGCTAGAAAGTGAAAATAGATAACTGAATCTCAGCTTTGACGATAGGAAGTTCACCGTGGTTCATTCATTCCTTGTTGTTGTCAGTCCTCACTGCTGGAGGATATTTTCCCACGGATCCTTAGAGAGAGTGGGAGGGAGAGACAGAGAAACATCAATGTGAGACGGACACATGGATGGGCTGCCTCCTGCACATGCCCCAACCAGGGCCAGGGATCCAGCTTGCAACCAAGGTACATGCCCTTGACCAGAATCGAACCCAGGATCCTGCAGTCCATAGGCCGATGCTCTGTCCACTGAGCCCCATGGGTCAGGGCTCAGGTTGACCTAAGCGGCCTTCGCCGCAGGCGGCGCTGTGAGAGGGACACACGCATGTGCAGTGGAGGAGAAACATGCTCACGGCCTTCCCTCTGTCCTGCTTCCTCAGATGGAGCTGGCCAAGGAGGAGAAGTGTGAGTTCCTGCCCTTCCTGTCCCCGCGGAAGGTCCTGCTCAGAGGCGGGAAGATCGTGGGCATGCAGCTGGTGCGGACGGAGCAGGACGAGGCCGGGGCCTGGAGGGAGGACGAGGAGCAGCCGGTGCAGCTGAAGGCCGACGTGGTCATCAGCGCCTTCGGCTCCGTGCTGAGTGACCCTCGAGGTACGGAGCGGGCGCCGCGGGGCTGGGCGTGGGCTGTGCTTGTGGCGCCGCCCTGGCTCCCGGGTGCTCGCAGGGGGTCGTGGTTGTTTGTTTACTTTTCTACTCAAACATGTATTTCCTTCTCCTGGTGGGAAATGCCAGAATCTTGATTTAAGAGGCTTAGAACCAGCATTTAATGCCTATTACACAGGATTATTTTTCGAGGGGGGGATCGGAAAAGAACATTCATCTTACATTTAAGCCGATAATCAAAATACTTATTTTGTTCAAATGTTTGCCTTGTGTATTCTGTAAGAATGGCTTTCTCACCCAGTGGGTGTGGCTCAGTGATGGAACATCTACCCATGAGCCAGGAGGTCACAGTTCGATTCCCGGTCAGGGCACAGGCCCGGGTTGTGGGCTCCATCCCCCAGTGTGGGGCGTGCAGGAGGCAGCCAGTCCATGATTCTCTCTCATCATTGATGTTTCTGAATCTCTCTCCCTTCCTCTCTCTTTAAAATCAATAAAACACTTTTTAAGTAATAAAAGAAAATAAAGAGCAGCTTTCTCTTCCATTAGACATGACAGAGCAGTTGTGAGAGCCAGTCTTCAATGATTCCGATAAAAGGCAGCCTAGTCAGTGGGCAGAAACAGGATTTATGGGGAGCACTGTCCTCCTGCCAGCCCACTAGAAGCAGCCATCCAGGACGTTTGAACTTGGCTCTTTCCTCTAGAAGGGTACATTGACGCCCTGAGGAAAGGAAGGAAAACAGGCTCTAAGGTAGTAATGAGAAGAGGAAGTGCTTTTCGTAGCATTCCAGCTGAAGGGGAGGCGGTCGGGAGAGACCATTCTGTGTCCTTTTTCCGCACGCAGTGTGTCTGTGGCCACTGACCATGGAAGCTGGTGCCCTTTGCAAACCCTTCCCCTTCCGGCACACATTGCTGAAATGATGGCTAACTCTTGTTTTCGGAAAGCAACATAAAAGAAAGATGTTTCTCTCCATCAGAGACTCATTAAGAATAACAATCTTCCTAGCGTCAGCCTGCGGACTGAAGGGTCCCAGGTTTGATTCCAGTCAAGGGCACATACCTGGGTTGCAGGCTCGATCCTTCCACTCGGGGTGTGCAGAAGGCAGCCAATCAATGGTTCTCTCTCATCATTTATGTTTTTATCCCTCTCCCTTTCTCTTCCTCTCTGAAATCAATAAAAATATATCATAAATCTGAATAAAAGTTATTTTTAAAAATAATAACAACAAAAAAAAAACACCTAGCTCTGTCCGTGCCTTCCTCTCTGGCTGAGCTGAAAGTCGCATGTGTCTGAGGCAGAAGAGACTCTCGCATGCAAATGTGTGAAACAGATAAGGGAGATGCGAACAGGCCTCGGGACAGCGTATCTGCAAGACATCACACATCTCGGTATCTGGAAACTTCCAGATGCTTAATGCCATCCAGATGACTGTTTTCAAGTAGCTGGACGATGGCCTGGACTTGTCACTTCCCATCCGGACGGCTCTGACACGCGGGCTCCGCCACAGCGTGCTTTGTTTATTCGCTAACGGTTCAGGGAGGAAAGCGAGAGCAGTGAGTACATTGCATTCTGCTCTCCAGAAACTCAGCTGCTGCTGCCTGCCTTGCACATCACCAGAACCGGAGCGAAAGCTGAATCCAAGGCGCTCGGTGGTTCGCCTGTCAGTCATTGAGCTCACCTGTTTTCTGGCTCCTCCCTTGATGGTTCCTTCCAAGCCTGCCCCTGGATTACTGCACAGGGTTACCTGTCACTAACTTCCGAGCTCCTGCTGCCCCAGGCATGGCGTGGAGGACACAGCAGGTCCCAGCCTTGCCTCCAGGAATGGATGCCCGGGGAGACACCCATTTCCATGGGTTGTGGGGGGACGGGGAGGAGGGGGTAGTTAGAGGCTGGGAAGCACCCACACAGGTTGGGCGTCCAGAGAGGCCTCGGAGGAAGCAGGCTGGCACTGAGTTCGGAGGAGGCGGGATAGCCAGGTGGAGAGGGGGTGGAGGGCGGGAGCAGCAGGGAAATTATGCAACTTGCTCAGCACACACTGTTAGTTCAGCAGGCATTTTGCAGTCACTTTAAAAGCTCTATTAGGGAGGAAAAAAAAAAAAAAAGGCCTGTCTTTAGAACACTGTCAACAGCCTCTTTAATTCATGCACGTTCCCCTCTTTGTAAACGAACGGCTGCGCCTTCCATTTTATTTCTGAACTGGAGCTGCGCAGCGTGCGATTTCTAGATGCGGTGTCTCCCTCGGCGTGGCGCAGTGGGCACTTCTGGTGTCCGGCGAGGTGATGGGCACAGGCCCGGGGAGACAAGACCAGTGAGCATGAGTCTGTGCCTGTCAGGCCTGCAGAGGCTCACGGGAGAAGCTGGCATGGAAATACGTACATTGCCACACGGTGTGCTAATCAGAGGGCACTCTGGACTGGGTTTCACAGATGGAGTAGGAGTTTCTCTCCTAGAAGAAATGTCCTGCCCCAAAGTCCGAGCTGACACATGGCCCCGTGCCAGCAGAGAGAGGCGAGGAGTCCTGTGGCTGGAACAGAAGCTGGGAGGTCAGACTGGGTGGAACGTGTGCAGGGATGCAGGGGCAGGAGATGTGGCTGCACATGTGTGCGGCTCCAGAGATGTGCATGCTAAGCTGGGGGTTTGAGTTACGCCCATTGGTGTCCAGGGGGCCAGTGAGGAGGTTTGAGTACGGGAGAGGCTTTTGGGGTTCATGAGACCATTGTGGTAGGTGTCAGTTTCCCTTCTCTCTGCCTGGATGTTGAGCCTTTTGAAAGGGTCTCCCCATAGTTGGAGATAAACTCTAGCTGGTTTGGCTCAGTGGATAGAGCGTCGGCCTTTGGACTGAAGGGTACCGGGTTCGATTCCGGTTAAGGGCACATACCTGTGTTGTAGGCTCGATCCCCAGCGGGGGATGTGCAAAAGGCAGCCAATCAATGATTCCCTGCCATCATTGATGTTTCTCTCTCTCTCTCCCTCTCTGAAATCAGTAAAAAATATATTTTAAAAAATAAAAATAAAAGTAGTTTAGATCAGAAACAGGACATCACGAGATGGTTCCCCAAGAAGGCAGGTGCGCCTTGCAGTGCTGAGCCCATGGGGGGCGACGCAGCACTCACAGGTGGGAGCAGCCTGTGCCCCGGTGGGCAGCTCCCTGGCCATGCAGGATAAGGGCGTGTGTGTACACCTGGTCTCACCTTCCAGAGTCACTCATTGGCCTGGCTCAGTTCTGCTCTTTTAAAAAAAATTTTTTTTTTTTTTTTTATTGATTTCAGAGAGGAAGGGAGAAGGACAGAGAGAGACATGGATGATGAGAGGGAATCATTGATCAGCTGCCTCCTGCACGCCCCACATGCAATCCAGGCATGTGCCCTGACCGGGAATCGAACCCCCTGGTTCACAGGTCGATGCTCAGCCACTGAGCACTGCTGGCCGGGCCCTCACGTCTGCTCTTGGAGGCCAGGTGAGAGGATGGGGAGCCAGCATGAGTGTGACAGCAGAGGCTGCCCACGTGGACCGGGCATGTTGCTCCGCATGTGCTGAAAAGGACAGAAATGGCGCCCATGGCACCAATAAAAGACTGTTTTTGCCAGTTTAACCAGGTAACTGCCACACGTCCAAAACGGAAACCATCCCCACCCGCCACAATATTTTGAATTTAACTGCGTCTCTAGATGCTAACGGCATAAAAAGGGTTAATGGCTGCGGTGAAGGTTCAGAAGAACATTCAGAATCCAAACACACTTCCTAAGTAGGAGACTCAGGACTGGGCCTCTGGTGTGAGCAGAGGCGGGCCGTTGAGTGTCGGGCGGGATCTGGGCGGGTGGCCCTGGGCAGGTAGAGCCAGGCGAGGGCGGTGGCTTATGCGCTGCGCTGGGATTGGTCAGTCCCTCCAGCAGCTGCAACAGGCTGGCACTAAGAAGGCCCGAGTGGGGGGCGGAAGCAGACCCTGGGGAGCTGTCACTCTGTCTTCCCCCGCCCAGCCCAGAGCCTCTGAGGGCTCTGCTCCATTGCAGTGAGTGAGAGCCATGATCCCTGGGGTTCTCCCTACAGGCATGAGCAATGGGCCTTTCTTCCGGGAGCCCAGGAGCCCTCCCCGGGGGTGCTGGGAGGGGTCTGCCCTGGTTCCTGCGGCTCCTCTGACAGGCGGTGCCTCGCAGAGAATGCATAAGCACAGGGTCTGGCTCCTGGTCCTCCGGCTCCGGCCCCTTTCATGGCGCCCGAGGAGTAAAACGTGGTGAATCCCGTGGATCAGCCCGCCCCGCGTTGAGAACGAACCGTTTAGTCCTCCCTGAACATCGCCTCGCGTCTCCCTACGTGTGGGCAAGAACCGTTCTCAGGAACCCAGGAGGAAGACTGGTCAGATGTTCCTCAAAGCTGTTCCTCAAAGGGTCAGATTCCTTTTCCGGCTGAAAGTGTGTCCCCTTCCTGTTACAAACGCCCTCGCAGGGTGGGGTGACGTGGTGGAATCCGGCCCCCGGCCCGGCATCTGTAGCACCACTGCCCACAGGAGGGCCCCTGTGCAGGGCTGCTCCGTGATGTTACTGGGAAAGAGGGAGATGAGGAGGAGAAAGGTCCTACTGACAACAGGGTTGGAAGTGAGTTGGGCCCTAGCCAGTCTGGCTCAGTGGATAGAGCGTTGACCTGGGGACTAAAGGGCCCTGGGTTCGATTCCCGTCCAGAGCACATGCCCAGTAGGAGGCGTGCAGGAGGCATCCCATCGGTGATTCTTTCTCATCTTTGATGTTTCTAGCTCTCTCTCCCTCTCCCTTCCTCTCTGAAATCAATAAAAGTATTTTTTTTTAAAAGCAAGTGCGTTGGCATCAACAGCACATCACTTGCACCTCCCTCGCCGTCCCCTCGAGCACAGCGCGCTGTCGGTGTGATTATTTCCCTCCCTCCACAGCGGCGCGGGCACAGGTGTGTTTCCCCCGGGGGGGCGGCTCTGGCGGCGCCTTCCCTTATCTTCCCTTCCCAGGTTGCACCGGCGGTTGAT